AAGCTTCCCGGTACCAGGTGTACTGATGCACTTTTCGATGCTCGAAGAAGGTGTTCATAATAGATAATCCATTGTTTGCACAAAACCAATCACGCCGTTCCACCTTTTAGCGTCTACTCCAACAAGCTGATTAATATCGCCCATGAGTATGAGAGCCACCGTATTCAGAACTTCGTAAAGAACACGTTCCACTTCCTCAAGGAAGCAATCATATTTTCCGTCGAAATTGGGCGCATATATTACTTGAGACAAGGTCAGTGTTTCAGTCTGCTGTAGGTTGTGTGAGAGAATCGCCACCCTTCCGCTGATAGGCTTCCATTCAATGATTCTATCAGCCAGGGGCACTAATACCGGCCTGAGCGTGCATCGTGATGTCTACACCTGAGTAGAATAGCGTTCACTCGCAAATGTTCAGCATTAAAGAACATTTGACGCTTCACTGACGAGAGTCCAGCTATGTCGAGTTAGTACCTTACGGCCTAATCAACTAGTCTTTGCGCTTTCCCTCTTGGAGATAATATGCTTCAATTTCCGAAGCGCCCCACTGGCGCTGTCGATCCAACGAGAGCCTTATATGACGTCTTATAAAGGCATCGCACTGTCTGAGATCTCCGCCATTCAGAATGGATTGTGGCACCGTTGCTGAATGGTATCTTCTTCGTCTTTTTGTCGATCTTCAGCAGCCGTAGTCGAGCTGCTACAGTCCAGGCTGCCAGAAGGTGGAGAGCAGACTTTAAAATGCCTTGGAACAGGGCTCAAAGTTAATATGTCATAAGCGACGTTTGTTGATAGTGAAGCATTTCGAACACCAGATGTTAACCAAGCGTATTTCTACGATATGTACCGAAGTATAGGGCAAATTATTTATAGGCCGTATTTCAAATGACATGATAACATCCTAGCCTAAGATGTCAATATGCTGATTTTTTAGACAAATAGCTGTAAAACCAGCACTTTTTAGCGGGACAACACAAATTTCTTCCGTGATACAGAAAAGCAACAGTTTGTTTCAGTAAAGATGAAAGTAGAAAATGAAGTACTGTAAGAAGGTACCAAGAAAATATTTTCGAAACATTATTGGAGTTGTGTC